GAATTTGCTCATTGTCATTATTTCTAACTTTACATTCACAATATGATTGGCGTGAATCTCCTCATCCCATATTTGTCGATCAAGTGCTCAGCTGTAAATTAACAGCAATATGTGTACTGCCGTATGCCAAACACAATGGTTTAAAATAATCTCAAACCTAAAGTGCATTTGAGTAACGCGACATAAACGGCGAAATAGAAATGTAAGAGGGTCAATTTAAGTCGAGCTCTATTAACTACTGTCATTTATATTCAATGATCTACTTTTCTAACTACGGTTCATTGATCTACTAATATTTAAAGACTTAAGAGAAATGAAAGATGGCTGAAGGAATTTGGGGTTCGCGAGAAAATTAATCATGTCATAAAGTGTTCCGCTCATCACTAATCCAGATCAAAATTTATCAGAAGGACAAGAATTCTGTAAATGCCAAGAGGCGTCACAAGATATCTGGAAGCAGTAACATTTTCTGTATCAATAGTTTTTATGCCAATCTATTCCAGAAAAATATCTTAATAAATAACTCACCTACTGTCCTCCTCATAGCATTGGGTTTCACCTACAAATTTAGTTAAGATTTCGTTTAACAGAATGTATTTAAAGGCCTTACTTAATTTGCAACTCAGATTATTTGAAAGCATATTTTGGCTAATAATATTTTATTCCTTTACTTTCCCAGTGGAACATAGGGTTTCAAGCTAGAGGCTTGAAGTTTTGGTAGCAGTGGTGTCTATTTTTTACGAATTGGACTGCTAGACTCATGTCTAACCTTCCACTTTTACCAGTCGTAATACTGGCTGAGGCGAGGTAAAGGAGTGCGTCGGTGACCGGGGATTAAACCCCGGACGATATGTGGTGTGGTTGCCGAACACTCTGCTGTTGTGCCACCAACACACCTACGTTCATAATAGCTTCAACGAAGTAGCAAACGTAGTGCCTTTAGTGCCAATACCCGAAAACGTTTCTTTTCTGATTAATTTTAAGTTCCATCCATTGTGTTTGCATTTATTCAAGCATCCCTCATTCTACATGGAGATTGGATGTGAAAAATAAAGAACCTTAAAATGGTCCATATATTTCCTATTTGATATATGTTATGCAATGACTGCAACTTATTCAAGTCTAACTGTGATACAATAAAACATTTTCTCACATTTATCATAATCAGTGTTCTCTGAAATAGAAAAACAGAATGTTGAAGTAAATAGTAAATTCGCGCATAAAGTTTGAAAACAACAAAATATCAGAGATCTGACATCAGACTACTTAAAATTTCATCGAAACATCAGTAAGTTTGCTCATTTTGAGATGGTAAGAATTTCTTATCTTTGACAAGACAAAGACGAAGGTTTGAATTTTCGATACAAATATCAAGTCAGTCTACGCTTCTAATCATTTCGGTGACTTGGCTCATGCACCAGTAAAAGTACTTCTAACAGGTTACATAGGTTCACTAACACCTGCCTCCTTCTCTTGATACTGAATACAAGACAGCCAAAAAGCAAAGGTAACAAGGGACTCTGAAGGGTAACGTGATCCAGAAGACAAGAACTCTTGGTCGACAGATATGTATAAGAGAATGAAGATTGACTGAATGTAGACTGAGAAGACCACTGCACCACTTCACACATCAGCCAGTCAAGTGGAACCTGTGTGTAAGGGGCGATATTGGAAGTCCACGTTGGAAATGGGAAATATCATGTGACGAGGAAATTAAAGCTTTTGAGCAGTCACACAGCCAAAAAGAAAGCACTGCAGAGAACTGGATGCAGTGAATAGATGCCGCTGAAGTTGTATGTTCCACCCAGAACCCGGGAAATGGATAGTAATATGTACGAAATCGATTCAATAATCACAATTTATTTTGCGTGCTTATAACTTTCAAAATAACTAACGGAAAACGAAGTATGTATTTCCTCTGCTTCCAACTAACAGCAGTCATGTTAGAAGTCAACTTTTCGTTCATGAAAATGAAGCCATTAGATATCTCCTCGTTACTATAAGATAACGAATAACAAAGTAAATGGTTATTAATTTTGATGGGTATGAATAAAGGGGGAACATAATTTCAAAAGCTTCCGTCATAAACAAACACAGACCTGCATCACCCTCCTTACACCCATTTGACTTTCCAGTATATCAGATTTAATGTGTAATTTCAACCATAGAGGCTTGAATCAACTCAGGTATTATTCTCAAATGAAACAAAAGCAAAGTATTCTGCTTCAACGGCTCTTCTCGCTGCATAAATGCTATCACTTTATTATTTGGTGTGGGAAAAGTGGTACTGAAGTTGGCACCTTTCGGAATGTAAAGTTTGTGAAAAAAGACGGAATTCTCATCAAGGTGTTGCATTGATCGTCAATAAAATAATTGAGTCCCATTGTAAATTATTCAGGATTAACTCATTATTTCTTTGATGTTGTCCTACTCAGTGCATGTACGTTCCTACTAATAAGCCACTTAGTAGGATATGGTTATTAGCAGAACATTCAACAAAATCTCGGAATGAGCTCAAATCTATAAATAGTTAGTAAGTAGGTGTAAATAAATTTTTTTCTGGAAATATCTGCCTTGTTTCGTCGCTATAGAAAATCCCCGAAATTTTCTGTAAGTCTCTAAATATTTGCATTATTAATATTAGAATAAGACATAAGCGTGCGTTAAGAGTGCTTTCTGAAAGCCAAAACTGTAGACAACAATTTACGTCAATATTAAAATTTCCGATTCGGAGTCAGGAGAGAAATGAATAACAAAGCTTAACCTTGAGGAACTCAACAACCAATCACAGAAGACTTAACGTGTGCAAATACGATTCGCAGATATATGGCTTAAATTTCGAAGAAACGGTCACGAGCAGTATAGAATAGCCTTCAACAAGAAAACAACCAATCAGAAGACAATGCTTCTCCGCTGACAATAATGTACATAAAAATCTATAAATATCTATTGATTTTCCCAATAAACTATCTTTTGCCTGGCTCTTGTCTTCAGTCGTCACAAGCGAAAAATATTGGTGTTTTTAAATAGACCTCCTTCAGGCTTTCCTTTGATTTACATAGATTTATATATTAAACAGAATTTAACCAGTGATGACGATTTTGTGGATCAAATAATAATATGGCTAATGTTCTAAATGTTAATAACAACGATGATGATAACAAAATAATCATAATAAGGTTTATTCGGGTGGCGATAAGAATAACGCAGGCAGTAATATGTGTATATGCAGACAATTCAATAAGTAGATAATTAGATGAAATCTCAAAAGTTACGTAGTACTAAAGGTGAAGTGGACAAATCATCAAAGTTTAAATAAATATCATAAAAGTACGAAGAAAATGAAAAATAAGAGAGGGGAAGAGGGTTTTTGATTAGGATTTACCTAGGCCAATAGAGAGACAAAGATAGGACAAATTTCTATGTTATGCACAGACTAGGATTGTTCTCTCGAATTAATTCCCATAGCTTCCGCTGTGTATATAAGGTAGGTCTGAATTCCGTTTGAAAGGTTCGATGGAATGTGATAGATAACTTTTAAGGTACCACTTCTATTCACTTTGTGACCACTATCATCAATCAAATGAGACAGAATAGAACTTCTCATTGATTTCACTTGGCCTTTTCCAAACCATGAAGGAAGATGTTCAGTGATACATTCGTTGACCTGTCTTTTTGTTCTCTCTATATGGCTTTCTCCACAGAAACAGCTAAATTTGTCAATACACATAGAAATGCACAACTACGCAGCTTGTGTTTCGCTCGAGCATTCATAATAGGCATAACAGACTTTTGACTTGTGTACAATCTCCCCAAAGGTACACGATTACGCCTCCTAGCCACAGCTGAAGTTATAGTGATTAAGGGAGAGAGACCAGACCTATGTGTACTGAAGAAACTTATTCACTCTCTCTGTCTACCCTGGCCCACTAAAAGGTCACCAGGATCATGATTTTTCGTATTATTATTATCATCAATTATTTTGCAACTATCCGGTCAAATCTTGATCACAGTTCATATGTATTATTATTATCATTTTGTGATATCATGTCTTTATTATCCATTTCTCCACCCAGTTTATTTCATCCCATTGTTACCCATAATTTTTGTCAACCTTTGTGATTTTATACTAAGCCTACCAATTATGTAACATCTTATTACAATTTACAATTTAGCCTCTTTATTTTATCATTAGACATTATCGGTCAGCCCTCACATTCAGTGTCCCCTTTGTTAATGTGTGTTTGTATGTATTTTCTGGTTATCGCATTTGTCTCACCCCAATGACACTTGTATTGTGTTGACTATGAAACAGCACTATATCATCCAATTGTTCATTCACACTTCATCACATTTTTCTGACTAAACACCCTATACACATTTGATACACATTTGACTATGTTAACTAATGGACTATCATCTCAACTTACACATGCACCCCAATACAGTTTCTGATATTATTTTCATTTGCCTTTATCGGCAAATTTCTAAATGTAGAGCCTGGAGGAGAAGTTATCGAAAAGAATTGTTCGCTTAAAATCTTGTTTTGACATGTGTATATCCTTCTAGAATGCAGAATATTTATCCATATAAGCAACCATGTGAATAACTTAATAACCTCTTCTACTTAGGTGTAATAAAATAATAGAAATCCGAAAAGCGTAGGTTTTTATGGTGTTGTAACTGAAATATGTGACTTACCACAATCTTCATCATCAGAATCTGACCTCCCTACTTGAAATATTTCCAAAAGTAATACAAAATTTTATTATTCCTGTGTTTGCACTGAATATCAAGTACACTGATGTAATTCCTCTCAGAATTATTGATTAAATTATTAAAAAAAAATAAACTGAAATACTTCAAAAGTATATTTGACAAAACGTACTCAGGTTTATCTTGTTATATTCAGGCTACCTAATTACCATGATATTTAGGCATAATAACACAGTAGAATTTCAGAAAGTATAATAACTAATCAGTCTTGCAGTCAAAACGTATTACTTACCACACTCTTCTTTAGGAGCATCTGATATCAATTGGGAAGTATTTAAAAATTCTTGTTACTACTTGTTTACACAGGTAATGCCAACAGATATTGCCAATCAAAGCATATGAGGTGAACCAAATCGATTAAGAAGTATTTATGTGATCCTCACAAGCGACTGGCCGTATTCAGGCAGTTAACTTGGAGTTCTAGCGGGAAGCTGTGACAAGCAGGGTGCAGCAGGTTGAAGGTGACGTTGCGAAGTAGTCGCGTTATGTTGTGAATTGGCCGAAGTTGAAATTTATGGGTCATTGGGTCCAAGTGGCTTAAAGGTCTATAAGCTAGCTCGCCAGGTGACCGGAAGGTCGTAGGTTCGAACACTGGCCGTGGGTGCGTACTGATGAAGAGTCCAAATTAGGATGGCTGAAACAACTTTCCAGTACTCCCAGTTGGTTTCCCAATAGTGCTCTAACTAATGACAGCTGGTGATGAAATCCTCCAACCAATCAAACAAAATCCCCACAAAACCAATACGTGTGTTACGCATGCTAGAGTAGCCATTGCCTTTCTCGACGGGAAATGTTAGCTGACATAGGATGGGTCAGCTTTGAAAACAGCCAGTTGTGGTCAAATCAAAACTGGTTTCATCAGTCAATGAAATCCGAAATTGTTAGTTTAAGCCACGTGGGAGTATGTAAACTTCCTGTCTGGTTGGGGTCCTCTTGATGGTAAGAACCAATGAAGGCTGGCGACAATTGATGATATGGCTCGAAATCGTTCTCAGTGTCTGGAGCAGATGCATCCACTCCTTGTGACTTATAATACCCAATTAACTATACTGTTCTTCGATACTACTGTAACAACAGAAGACAAGTGCCAGGCAACACATCGTTTATAAAGGAAATCAACACATATTTATAGATTTTCATGTACATTATTACTTATTATTATTATTGCTCGATCAGGTTCCTAGTGGAACATAGGGCTTCAACTGCACGTTTCCACTTGCTTCTGTCTTCTGCCGTACTTTTCACCTGCATCCATGTTACTTCATACTGTTTCAACTCCTCTCCTCTTCACACGATCTCCTCCATGTCACCCTTGCACTGACGTCACACTCACCGCTTCTCTTTCGGGTTCCACTCGAGGGTCTGACGCGCGGGCGATGTCACCCAAAGGCCTCCTCAGTGAGTGTCCAATCCATCTCCACTTTCTCCTGCATATTTGTTGGTTAGCGACCGGTTCTTGTTCTATTTGTTCCCACAGTTTCTTGTTGGTGATTCTGTCCGGCCGGCCATCTGATCTTCACTATAGAGCGAAGACAGTTAGTTGTTGATAAAGGTCTGCAACAGGCTGTTGGAAATATTCTTTGTGACCCACCCGTCCGCCAAGTTTCTGATCCGTAAAGAAGAAGTGCCTGACTCGACGTTTGTATTGAAAATCCGACCGAATTTTGTTGCTGATGCTGGTGAGTGACGAAGATTTCCAGATTGGTTTCAAGTTGATGAATGTGTTTCTCGCCTTCCCGATTCTCGCTCGATTTGACATCCTCGTCCGTTCCGACTGCCTGTAGTTGGGACAATGCTCCCTAGATAAGTGAATGAAGTGACCTCTTTCAAATCCCTCTCGTTGATGGTGATTGGTGCTGGATGTTGCTGTTGGCGTTGTTGTTGGTTGGTTATTTTCATAACCTCCGTCTTGTCTATGTTCACCTGGAGTCCTGTCTTCGCCGGCTGCTTCTTCGACCAGTTTGTCGGTTTTCGCTTGTAAGTCTTCGATTGTGTGTGACATCAAACATAAAATTCATCCGCGCGCGAAATCCAGGTCTTCTAGGTTCTTCTCGTCGGTCCAGGATATCCCTGTCTTCTCGTTTCCCACTGTCTGACGCATAATCCAGTCCACCACAATTAGGAATATCATTGGTGATAATAAGCACCCTTGTCTGACTCCTGTGTTTACTCCAAACGCCTCGCTGAGTTTTCCGTTGTGGATCACTTGACATGTGCCGTTGTCGTACAGCTGTTGAATAAGGTTGATGAATATTTGGGGTACGCCATAGTACTCGAGTAATTTCCAAATTACTTCACGATCAACGCTGTCGAAGGCCTTCTCAAAGTCTATAAAGTTGAGGTAGAGGTTTGATTGCCATTCCATGCTTTGTTCGATGATGATGCGTAGAGTTGCAATTTGGTCAGTACATGATTTGCCTTTCCTGAATCCAGCTTGTTCTGGTCGGAGTTCTGTCTCCAGTGCGTCTTTTATTCTCTCCAGTGTGATGCGACTCAGGATTTTACTTGGCGTCGACAGGAGCATGATTCCTCGCCAGTTCTTGCAGAGAAAGTCCTAAGTCGCCCTTCTTTGGTAGTTTCACGAGGTAACCTTTCCTCCAGTCAGTAGGCACCTTTCCCTCCTTCCAGACCTTTTGCAATAATGGAGTCAGCATATATCCTGTAGTCTCTGGGTCTGCTTTCAGTGCTTCAGGGGGTATTCCATCTGGTCCAGCTGCTTTTCCAGCTTTCAGAAGCTTGATTGCATTCAAGACTTCAGCTTTCGTTGGAGGATTGGTGTCAACTTGCAGTTGTGTACGTGATGTTGTTGGTATTTCTGGACGGGTTGCAGGTGATGGTCGGTTCAAGAGTCCTTTGAAGTGATCCGCCCATTGTTTAATCTGTTTTTCTTCCTTGGTAATTGGGTTCCCTTGGCTGTCTTTTATAGGTTTCGCTTGTGTTGATCTCTTCCCGGATAGAGATTTGGTTATCTGATATAGTGTCCTCAGGTCCCTTTTGCCTGCTGCCTTCTCAGCTTCAGTGGCCAGGTTGTCGTAGAATCGTCTTTTGTCCTTCCTAGCACTCTTCTTCACTTCTTTGTCCAGTGCTTTGTAAGTTGAGCTCAGCGTCTCCTTCTCCTGTCCGTCCTTGCATTGAATCATTTTCTCTTTCACCATTCTCCTCTCTTCTATTAATTTCCAAGTGTCCGTTGAGAGCCATTCCTTGTCTTGTCTCTTCTTTCTTCCTAGAACCGTTGAACACGTTTCGTTGAGAATCGCCTTCAGAGACTTCCAATGTTCTTCCACGCATGATTCTTCAGTGATGTCGCGTAGTGTTTCCTGCTTTGCTCTGACAGTTGCAGTGAAAGTGTCTTTTGTGGTTGTGTCCTTCAGTAATTGAGTGTTGAACTTGCATTGTGGCCTATCCCCAGCTATCCTCGAGGCTTTTAGTTTCACCTTGAAAGTCCCTTGTACTAGATAGTGGTCTGAACCCACATCTGCTCCTCTCCTTGACCTTGTGTCCAGTAGGCTCCGTCTCCACTTTCTTGAAATTGAGATGAAGTCTATTTGGTTCTTGGTGTTTCCATCTGGTGAAATCCATGTCGTCTTGTGTATATCCTTGTGTTTGAACACACTACCACCAATCACCAAATCATTGAAGGCGCAGAAGTCTGAGAAGAGTTCACCATTGTCGTTCATTTCACCGAGGGCCTCACGACCCATGGTGAGTTCTCTTCCTGTGTTGTCTCCTCCCAGCTTCGCATTCATGTCGCCCATCAGGATTTTGATATCGCCATTTGGGACGTTGTCCATTATTGCTTGTAGTTGTCTGTAGAACGCCTCCTTCTTCTCTTGTTCTGAGACGTTTGTAGGCGCATAGCATTGAATGACTGTAACTTTCCTTCCTTTTGAGTTGAACCTGGCTGTCATTATCCTGGAGGAGATTGGTTCCCACTGCATGAGAGCTTTGGTTGCTGTTGGTGACATCATGATGGCCACTCCCTCGGTGTGCTCATGGTTGTCCTCTGGGTGGCCGGAAAAGATTACTGTCTCTCCAGTAGGTAGTTGGCACCTTCCAGTTCCGTTCCATCTGCTTTCGCAGATTCCCAACACTTCTATTCTGTACCTTCTCATTTCAGCGGCTATCTGGGCAGCCTTTCCAGTTTCGTACATTGTACGAACATTCCAGGTACCCATCCTTACTTTTGCTTTCATCGAAAGAAGGCACATCGGCTGACTGGCTTCCCGAAGGCTTTCACCAGCCTGCGTCATTTCACTTCCCCGATTCCAGCGAAAAGTAAGGCTATTGTTTATGTTTTTAGAATTTTTAATATATTTATTCGTTGAAGTTTCTGTAGCGATTTGGTTGTTTTACAGGGGTGGAGTTGCTAGCACCACGCCCCAACCCTCCATGTTTGTCCGGGCTTGGGATCGACTAGAAAACTAGCAAGCCAGTAATCTGGCGAGGTTTATAATGTGCATATTATAGATTACTGTTAGCAGAAAAACACAGTCTTCTTATTGGTTGATTCTCATCGAAAGTTAACCTTTCATTTCTTTGTGCTGTTTCTTGAATGTCAGATCATCTATATGCTAACTGTATCCGCTTACACAAAGGCTTTGTTCTCATTTTTCCCACGAACAATATTGGGAACATAAACACTGACGTGAATTACTGTCTTCCAACTTTGACTAGCAGCAAAACTACTATTCTTTTTGCCTCATATATCTGTTTGACGTCTCTATTTTGCATTTCATTTCACTTTCTTCTCTTGCTTTGTGTGCTGCACGAATTGTGGCGACTCGAACTGCAGCACATTTGTGCAAAGTTCTACGCCGAAACTAGTCAGTCAATCATTTCTAATGACTTACTTTCCCATTTTCTATATAAGTATACTTTGATATAATGCAATGGCGAATATGACACTTGTAGACATCATGGAATATGACAGTAGTTAAATTCATCAGGAACACGTGAATCATTAAATGCTTGGAAATCACTCATGTTTAACATAGGGTTTCAAGTTCGAGCTTATGAATTTTCGATAGTAGTGGTGTTGCTTTTTTAGTGTGGGATTGATAGCTTCACGCTAACCTTCCTTCTTCGCCAGGCTTGCTCAAGCTGAGCATGGTTTATGAGACAGCCGGCTAGGAATCAAATCCCGGCGTGGCCAAGGCAGGCATTCTGCCACTCAATCAACTACGCATGTAGCTAACTTAGAGCTGTTTGAATTAAGCGAGAATAACAGTGGTTTGTGCAGAATAATGTGGTACCATCATTTATTTTGTTGGCTTCTCATCAGCTTAACTGCTTACAACCTAAATAAATTGTGAGGCTTAGGTACAGAAACGTTTTAACATACTTGCAAATTTTACATGTTGTCAGTTGACAGAAAGTTCCACAATTAGTAAACAGTGCTCAAAAAATTGCGCTTATATAGTTTTTACACAGGCAGTTCAAGTTAAAACAAAATAAATGTAGGCATATAATGGTAAAGGAGTTACATAATAATGATGAGATGTGCGTTAGATGCATAGTGACTAATAAGTTAGATAACAATGTACTGAGTTGAACTCAAGTCATAGAAACAAGAAACAATCAAAATTACAGATTATAAAAGGGAGGGTGAGGTTAAAGACAAAGATTACGTAATTAGATGAGAGAAAAAAGTCATCCAGTTACCAAGGCAAAGAAAGACTAATAACTGCTTCTTTCTGAACACATAGATCTGGTTTCAAGCGTTTGATGGAAATTGCTTCGGCAAACTTAAGGAGAATGGAGCTCCTTTGTCTATTCATAATTTTGAAGGATTTCTGGATTTCAACCTCATGACCCGTGTCGAGGAGATGTCTGGTAATACCGCTACTATAAGAGTTTGTTCCCTTGAGACGTAGGCTTTTCGGCACATGTTCAGAAAATCGGAGGTGTGCCCTTCTTTCTGTTCTCCCAATGTAACTGCTCCCGCAGATACACGTAAATTTTTATACACAGTTGGAGTTAACATGAGAAGGGTCTCTATCAACTTTTGACTGCACCAAAGAGCATGCTGTTTGATGGACGGGAACCAACTTAGTTGCAGGATAGGCCCTGGCTAGTGGCGTTCTCAGTCGTCTGTTGACCATTTCTGCAATGTCTTCACCTTTTAAATCTAGTTGAATGAAGACAGGCTTTTCTTCAACTGTGATTTGTTTGGTATTTGAGCCTTTACATCTTCCATATTTGTTAATGAATCTTTGAGCATAACCGTTGTTTTTCAGCACCTTTTCAAAATTCGTAAATTCTTCCTCTAGTTTCTCAGGAGAGCATATTCTCCTCGCTCTATAGTACAGAGTCTTGACTAGTGCTCGTTTATAACTATTTGGACAAAAACTATTAAAATGTAAGTATTGTCCATTTCATGTGGGCTTTCGGCAGATTGACCTCTGGAGACTACTGTCTTCTAGGCGTTGCATGGCGACGTCAAGGAAATGGAACTTTCCATCATTTTCATGTTCCATATTAAATCAATTTTTTGTATGTGCGTTGTTGAATAGTCTGAGTAGGTAAGAGGCATGACTTTCGTTGTTGCATACTACAAATGTGTCATCGACATATCGATAATAGGAAGTTGTTTGATCAATTGCATGCTTCAACTTTGTTTTCTCAAGGTTTGACATAAAGATATCTGCTAAAACAGGGCTAAGTGGACTGCCCATAGTTACACCATCTATTTGTCGGTAAAGAGTGTTGTCAAACTGGGATTGTACACCCATGGTACACAATAGCAGTAGGCGTATTTTGAGCTGGTCTGGCAAGTGTATCTTCAGGGATAACAAGTCGTATATAAAATAGAAAGAAGGTAGGAGGTTAGAAGTGGTACTCTGAGTTCGTCAATTAAAGTGCTCTTATGTACGCACAAAAGTAAAACTTATCATTTAGATAACTTGTTTCAACTACTCAATGTTTATTATACATATATGCATATTCTTTCTTACGTGTTTTGGCGCATACAAATAAACCTGAAAATAAAACGTTGCAATATGGGATAAGGATTATTGATAACTTATATTCAAGTTGTAGTCAGCTGGGTAACCATCAGTCGCAAACGGAACCTGATAATATCTCTTGAGACTAGAATCCGTAATGGAATATGCAGCCTCTAGTCAGTAGAAGAAAAGATCACTCTTGAGAAAGTCAAAAGATGCCTTCCGAAAACGGTAGGCTACCATATGCTTTGCTCCGTCGAGTCCTTAGAGATTCAGGTAGAAAATCCTCATTTATGTACACACAGAAGAAACTTCTTCATCCCCACCTTCTACTAATGGGTATAATTTCGAGTTCTACTACTTTGTTATTAATGCTTTTTTCGGAATCTTTGTATGACATCTTAATAACATCTTTTTCTAAACAAACCCTTTATTTACTCTTTCTACCTGTTACATAGTTTTAATTTTGGGGCAAGTGTCTCCATGCTGTTTCATTAACATCCTTTTTTCGTGTCTTTCAATATTGCGCGACCCTTGTCTTCACTTTCCACCCCCCCAGTTACAGTCTGATCTTCATCGGAATTTTTGTGAAACATTTTGGTGACATAAACAAGAACCCTAATTAATTTTCGTTTTGTTTGACAACCCAAATATATAACACACACACACAACGGAATTATATGTAAATGTGACTGTGCAGCTAAGTGAATGAATTCGCAGGCGGGAAAGACACTCCTTCCTGAACTTTCTATTCTTATATCTATAAATTTTAACTAGCCAATCTTTTCAAGTATTAGTCTGTAGGATTTTATGTTTGATTGGTTAGAGGATTTCATTATGAACTGATATCGGTTAGGAAACCGCTGGAAAAACTGAGAGTACTGGACAGCCATTTCATCCTAGTTTTGGACTCTTCACCATATACATCCACCGCTAGTATTTGAACCCAGGACCTTCCCATCACAAGGTGAGCTAAGATGAAACAGCTGTCTAGTACTCCCAGATTTTCTAATGGTTCTCTAACCGATATCAGTTGATGATGAAATCTTCCAACCAATCAAACTCAATCACTGTCATGACTCTCTTTTAACGTACAAATGTTTTTCAGAAACTACAAATTAAATAAACTTTCGCTGATGAAAAATAAGACATTTGACCACCCGAAAGCCAGTCCAGTGAACTCGAAACAACATCACTTAATCATAAATAAAAACCATAATAAATAACTCACAACGTTGTAGAAATGATGGGATATCTAGATGGTTTTAAAATTTTAATTAAATCCGGTCAAATTCATTCAATACATTGAAGATAGAGTGAAACATTGATAGATTCTAATATCTGTGTAGTTCAAAATTTAGCCAGCCTAACTTTTAATGCTCATACTTGGGATTTGATTAAATATATACATTTGACATACCGTCATTTGAATTATCCCAGTTAATTTTCACCTCTCTTCAAGGAAACGATCTTTTGCAATTATAGAAAATCTTGGTTCTGATGTAATTGTGTTCTCTCAGCTGGATAATAATTTTGCGAAGCTTTCATCGCCCTTCTAGGCAACATCTTCAGCGCATACTTTAATTTGAAATGAAGTGAGCTTTTAGATTTCTCCACCTCTCCTGATCACTTTGAACGTGATTGTTTGTTTTCGTGTGTTTTCACACTTTCTAGGCTATTTGTATTGGAACTGATTGTTTCCCTGACTTGAACTTTCACCCTTTGTATGTCAGATTTCTTTTTTGTCGGTTTGTAATTTTTGACAATCTGAGTATGTCTGTTGACCGACGATTTACTGAAATACCAGGCCTCTAAAAATTCTCTAGCATTCTTGGTGTTTCCTCTATCTAATATTTGAACGCTGATTGCTCCAGTCGAATTTATATCCGTGGTTGTCTGTATGCAGTGAGACGATATGAGGGAGTGGATATCACGTCTTTTGACGGCTAACTTATGTTCGTGGATACGAAGACGAAGGGGACGTCCACTTTGACCAATTTAGTGTTTTACGCAGCTGTTACAATTTATTTTGTAGATGATGTTGTCTTTATCTTCTTTCGTTGTTGGGTCTTTTGGTTGACATAGAAGTGAGTAGAGAGATTTTGTTGGTTTGTATGCGACGTCAATCCCTCATCAAAGTTTGAAGATTCTTGCAGTGATTTCTTATGTGTCTTTTACATATGATGGGGCGATTTTCTTTGTGCTTTCCTTGGAAGCCTTTGATTTGATAGGTTGACTTTGGGGTGCAAATTTTTTGGTAAAGTTTCACGGATATTCATTCTTTTGAAAGACGTCCATGAGGTAACTTTCTTGCAATTTTCCTAAAATGAGAGCGCTGCAATGAGTCCTGGACCTCTTAAATAGTGTTTGTATACAATTCCTTTTTTGTGCTATTAGATTGTTCCTATGGCTTTTGAATTGGAAACACGTTGTTAGGCATACGTTTATGCATTCCTTCCAACTTGTGTTGCATTTTGGTTAGTTGTGTGGGGTGTTCTTCGTTCCTGAGTGATTGCTCCATGTTCGTTTCTGCAAGTTTCTGTCGATTAAAGATATATATATTGAGGCGACGTCAAAGGAGACCATTATTTCTTTGTCACCTATGCCTCAGATTTTCACCAGAAACTGTATAGCTGATTTCATGGAGTGATCTCAGGAATCCGTTAGTTGTCTTTATTTTCTGTGTAGCTCTTTGGACACATTGTATGTTTGAGTTCCTGGGAGTTTGCGTATTTTCAGTCTGCCGTATAATTGGTTTATTTCACCATTTATGATTACAATTAAACAGCTGCAATTACGAAATCTCTTTAAGCATAAGGTTAACTGGAACGTTGTGAACCTGTAAGACGTCAAGCAGACTTGACTTGAAACATTTTAAACGGCTTGTTTCAGCTTTTTCAATGGAAAGCTTTCAAATAAAATGCAGTTAAATACAGTAACCAAACTACTACTCGCAATACGAATAAACATAATGCTTGACTTACCGTCACCACAAATGGTTCCACCTTGAAAGCAGAAATTAATTGCTTTACTGGGAGTTTAATTAGTATAACACATATATGGGGATCCTAAATTAATTCCTCTTTCTCTAAGCGTCTTCTCCTTGAAAATATCTTTAATTATCAGGACAATGTTACTAATGATGCAACCATCAGTAGTGCATAAAATCAGGGTAAAAATATAGGCAGTTCAGTAAGTTTCAAAATTATCAGCACTAATCCATTACCTAATAAATAGTTAGTGTTCTGCATCTGATTCCAAAAAACCTTTTGACCATGATTTTTCGTTCGTCGAAAACGCTTTCATCACTAGCTGATGTTACCAGAGGACAACCGTTTTCACAGATGATTTTGAGGACCACATTTGTCCGGATTTCTCACAAGAACACAAAGAATGTCCACATCTTAGTCAACCATTAAGAGGTAATGAATTCGTTTGTAAATACTGGCACTGAATACTGTGACTAAGATAGCGGACTGCCATCATTGACATCCAAAAATATGCGATAAGTGAATTTTTGGCCGAAGTTTAAGCTTTTTCATGCATGTTAACTTTTGTCTGTAGTGGAAACTACTGATTCCACAGATCAAGCGATCAATGAAGAAAACACGATAAGTATCGAATACTTCTCCAAAACTGACTTTTATTCGTTTGATGAATTTACATTCAGTTTTACAAATTTTGATTAAGATGGTGTACTCTGTTCTAGATTATATCTGTATAATGTAGAGAATTTTCAGTTACCGAAAATACCCACTGAGTCATGTTGAAAAAAAGAAGACAAATTCAGCGAAGAAAATGCTTCTTTATCGACCAAATCATCTTCACAGGCTGTATAGTCGTATTTATATTTGCCCAAAAATGTATAGTAGTCTATTAGTGAGCGACAGGTGGTTTACATAATTGATACAACTACTTAGAAGTGGCTTTAGAAGTAAACATAAAAGCTGTAAATTACTTAGCACTCAACAACGGAACAAGAGAAGAAAGGATTACTAGCTAAGTTCTTGAGCACTTGGTGATTACAAGCCATGCATCTTCACCACAGTTGTCATTCAAGATTATCTACAAGGTGAGACCAAATAGTACAAACGGTATCAGGTTTCGGCAGTTGTGTATGGCGGGAGTGTTGGCGATTCGTCAATCCAACCCCGAACTTTGTATACAGAAAACTTTTGTCCAGTATCTTAATTTGTCTTGGTTTTAACCTCTTCATTAGTCGTTCTCTGTAAATTTTTTATTTTCAATTTTAGTGATTATTTTGCTTTTACTATAATTAATCAATTCACCACCATTACTCTCATATGTTTCTTTTGCATATTTTCACACCTGACGTAAACTTGTTTACACTTGAACACTCAACATCGTCTATTCTAACTCAATAACAATTTTAACCTGATCAAATTTCTAGCCATATTTTCCTTTGTGCCGTTGAATACTCCGTAACCTACAACTTTTACTTTTACTTTTGAAGCCACTTCTGAGTAAGTATATCAAATATGTAAATACGACTGTACAAAATATGAAACTGATTTCGTTGATAAAGAAAATTTTCCTCGCTAATTTGTCTTTTATTTTCTTCAATTTTCAGTTAAATTTATGACATAACAGTTGCTTATCGTTCAGGATTTCAAGTAGAATAGTAAGTGACAGTAGATTGTGTGACACAGGGCTGCCTGACTTTAAGAATATTTCTCAGTTTACCTCCTTTGTGAAATGCAAAATGTTCCTTTAAAAGACAAATGAAAAAATGCTGAGGTACATTTTATGAGACCCGAAGTTATAACTGAATGATTGCAGGTAGTTAGTTGTATTTCTCTGGCAATGGCAGTTTGCACAAAAAATCTAAGGAAGAGTTATGCCATACATCGCGATAGGTTGCCAAACCCGATTATGCTTTTCTTCAATTTTGTTAGCAACCTGAGAATCAGTAAGTGACAAACATTTAAAAGAGACGCCAAAACAAACAATGCCCTAAGAGTTTATGTTCCTATGGATTAAGACAAAGTGTACGCCAGTAATAATAATGAGTAGAGAGTTTAGTAGCTCAAGTTTCAAGCAGACTGCCTTAAATCAATGCACAACAGGAAATTTGCAATTGATAGTGTTCTCTGAGCTCCTTGGTTTAATTGCGGAGATTTCATCGTCTTTCTGGACGACATCTTCAGCGCAGTATTTAGGATAAAGTGAAATGATTTAAATTTCTTCATGAGTCTCCCGGTAACCATCTTTAGATCTGTATTGACCGTTTTCTATTGATTGGGATTTTAAACTTTCTGATCACCTGATTTACTTCTTATTAGTTGGTATATTTCATCTATATTAACGTGTTTATTAATTGCGTTTTCATTTGAGTACCAGGCTTCTAGGAATTCTCTGGCACATTTGGTGTTTCCTCTGTTTAAGATTTTGACATTATCCCAATCAAACTGATGTCCATGGTCGTCTGAATGTATTGATACTAAAGAATTTATATCATGTCTTTTCACGGTTGATTTGTGTTCCTGGATTCTTATTCGAAGGGGACGCCCACTTTGGCCGATGTAATGTTTGTTACAGTTCATACAATTTATTTTGTAAATGGTGTTAATTTTATCTCCCTTTCTATCAATGAATAACAAACATTACATCGGCCAAAGTGGGCGTCCCCTTCGAATAAGAATCCAGGAACACAAATCAGCCGTGAAAAGACTTGATATAAATTCTTTAGTATCAATACATTCAGACGACCATGGACATCAGTTTGATTGGGATAATGTCAAAATCTTAAACAGAGGAAACACCAAATGTGCCAGAGAATTCCTAGAAGCCTGGTACTCAAATGAAAACGCAATTAATAAACACGTTAATATAGATGAAATATACCAACTAATAAGAAGTAAATCAGGTGATCAGAAAGTTTAAAATCCCAATCAATAGAAAACGGTCAATACAGATCTAAAGATGGTTACCGGGAGACTCATGAAGAAATTTAAATCATTTCACTTTATCCTAAATACTGCGCTGAAGATGTCGTCCAGAAAGACGATGAAATCTCCGCAATTAAACCAAGGAGCTCAGAGAACACTATCAATTGCAAATCATCCACCTGAGTTACAAATCTTTTCTATTATTACAACAGGAAATTCCCTATGCGAGTGATCCATCCGAATGACACACTACTAAACTGGTGTGACTACAGCTTTTGTCACCCTAAAATGATTGCTATTGTGAATTTTCAGGTTTATACATCTTTGATTACTAGTATACTAATTGTCACATTCACAGAGTCTGAATGGTAAGTATGCTCAAATTCCTGTAAAGCAACACCCGAAAACTGACCTACTTCTCACTAGTTGTTCACTATATGATGAAGACGCATCTTCAACAGTGACAATACTTGGTGGTCTTGCTATATGTTGCGAAATAGCATAAGTTAGAATTCATGGATTAGCTATTAGATTCCATCCCAGTAACTGGATGGTCAACCAGCTTGCCTTGCGACTAAATGATCCTAAGTTCGATTCCCAGTAGGTGGGCGCGTACTACTGAAGATTCCCTAAGAAAGAGAACGAAAAAGCCGTCCGCGGTCGATGGTGGTCTTCAGTGGCTCTCTAACTGTTATCAGTTCTCGATTAAACTTGAAATCGGTCCAATCCCCACAAAGCAACACTTGAGAATAGTAAGTAAACTACTGGCTAGAGTAGTGCTTAAATGAACTCAGACTCAAAATGTTAAGCATGGTATGCATAATAGACGGTTTACAACTAACTTACACATGTAGTCATTCTGAGCTGAAAATATGACAGTAATGTTATGCAATCTTAGATCATCCAGTTATCTGCGCATATAAAAATTATTTTAATCAAGCAATCTAACACAGAGAATTTCATGCAAGTTTACGTGAACAGTTTAAAGAATGCTTTAATTCACTATTTTTGTCTTCTAGTGACTTGGGAAAATATCATCATTAATTTGTCGTAGCATGACTGGAAATCCAATGTGATATCCGAAAAAGTGAATAATGTATGTCTTATGACCTTCGATTTCCTACTGGATTCCGTAGGAACAAGTCATGCATCGGTCAAATCGCAACGCAACGAATCATCACTGAACAATGCTTGGAATTGCAGTCAGCTCCTTACACCAACTTCATTGACTTTGAAAAGACCTTCAATAGCGCAGCGTCGATCGAGCGGTGATTTGGAAACTACTTTGCTAGTACGGGGTGTCACCAACAACTATACACAACATCCAACAGTTGTACGATAAAGCTGCATGCCAAGTAATCCACAGCGGGAAACTCACGGATTCCTTCGAAGTGAAAACGGAAGTAACACAAGCGGCTGCCTACCATCTCCTATGACTTTCCTGATTTCGGTAAAATGGGTAATGTGACAGACATCGGGCAGTGAGGAGAAAGGCATTAAATGGACCCACACAAAGAAACTTGGAGGATCTGAACTTCGCCGATGACAATATATTTCTGATTTTCTACAAACTGGAAGATATGCAAATGAAAAGCATCAAGTTGACAGAAGAAACATCCAGAAAGGATAGGACTTCTTGTGAACACAGAGAAAACAGAGGTGATAAAGATTTCTGGCCAACAGGGACAGAGACAACAACAGACGACAATCAGCATAAATGGGATGGGGTCTGAAAGAAGCAATATCCTTTGCCTATCTACCTGAGAAGCATCGTCTCAGCTACGGGCGGACGGAACTGATGAGGATATGAAAGAGATGATCGGAAAAGCCAAACAAGCTTTCATCACTCTCAAGTCTGTGTAGAGATCAACAGAACTAAGCATGAAAAATAAGATCCGGATTTTCAACTCCAATGTGAATTCAGTGCTACTTACTATACGGATCAGAGACTTGGCGCCGCACAGCGTCACGAAAGGCACTTCGAACAAACTGCACACTTTCATCATCAACAGCTATCTTCGCTCATTATTACTGAAGATCAGATGGACGGCCAGAAAAGATCATCGATAGAAAGGTATCTCTGACAATGATGAACCAACCAACCCAGCAGGAACCGACCATGCAAGAAATATTTATGGAGAAATGGAGGTGGACTGGTCACATCCTCAGAAAAAACTGTCAGATGACATCGCGTGTTTGGCCATTGCTCGACTGGAACCTAAATGGAAGGCGGCAGGTTAGCTGGTCGTCAGTGCTAGGGCGATATGAAGGAGGAGGTGATGCTAAGAGGAGATGAAAGCATGTGGGCAGACTTGGAATCAGTTGAAAACATCGGAAGAGAACGAAACGCAATGGAGACGTGTGACTGAAGCCCTATGTTCCTCTACGAATTAAAGAAACTATAATATAGTAATTATACTTAAGTGCAGCTGACCCTGCGCTCACTCCAGTTCTCTAAATCTACATGAAATCTGCAAGTGAATGTCAAACAGAACTAGTAATTTTAAGAGAAATGCAAAGATCCAGTAAAAAATGGTTAGCTGAAAACGTTCAAAGTTTACAATGGTACCAAGATAGTTGACAAATAATTCCTCTAAATCCCAAGGTGGATCTGATATTATCATTGATGACAACTTAATTCGGCACATGGATTACTTGAGCTACTGACGTGCATTACTATAATCTCTAATTTAAAATCAGTTGTCTGGTGGTTTCTAGGTAAAGAATCCAGAATTATGAATGACCTGAGTGCAAAGAGATCCAATTGATGCGTTACAGAAGTGAATTATTTGAACGAATTTCTTATATTGACAGAGAAAAATGAAGATCCTAGTGACCACATGAACAACACTCCACAAAACACAATGCATACTTGACCAGAAAGGATTATCAGTAAAAAACTCTGAGGACTAACTAGCCAACAGCTATTCCTCAGCAGATATACGGAAGAAAATAGAGATAGATTGGATGCACTCTGATGAGGCTGTTGACTGACATCCGAGCTCTAATCAGGCTCTTTCAGTGGGAGCTAATTGAGAAACGGATAGTTCTGACTCCACAGAAGATTGTGTTAGGATCAGATGAAAGCTTAAAGGGAATCGTGGAACCAACTGAAGAGAACCTCAAAAAGGCAGGAGAGAATCGATATATGGTGTTAACGCCCTGTACCCTATTCAAAACTCAGGAGCATAATAATAACTATTCGGGCAGAAGAATAATTTCATTCTCACTTTTTTGAAATAAATGTGTGCTTCCGGACAGTCTGACAGTATTAGTATTATGATATCTGTTTCTTTGATGACGAACGTTCTTATTTACTGAACAAGTGAATCCCACCGTAAGCATTTATTTAGTTCAGTTAGAATAAACCAATATAACGTTGAATATTGCACAGACACTGAGAAACAGGCGAATACACTTAGGAATGAAAGTTTCAACTGTAAAAATAATGTTTACTAAACCAATGCTAAGTAACTTACTAATCAATTCACAGTTGATTCGACCTAGAAAAATGTTAATTCATTGCAAAACAAATCCGTATTTTTGATAAAAGTATAAAACTTGGGCATTGTGGTAGAGTATAATTCCATTTTCGATAAGACTTCATTTTGATAAAGTGTCACACAGTGTTTCACATTAATATTAACTGATGACCACGTTTCGAGCACAAATTATTACTACTCATAATTATATCAAGCTACTCACACAACGTTTTCTTTCATCTATACGCATGTGTGTTAAATTGACCAGATATCTGAATAAAAATCAGTATGTGATAATAGACATACAGAAAGAATAATATGAGAGTTATTGATCAATTACAATCAGATGGGAAATAAAACGAGTGTTTTTTATAGTCATAATAAGTTGCTTGTTAGTGTGCTGTTATGCACTTGAATTGAAATAGAATTTTAAAATTATTTATTATCCTCTTCTGATTTAACTGGTGGTAATAATATCTTCCATATCTTTGGTATTTGCACGGAGTCATTTCTGCTGCATGTGCTGGGTGTAGACTCGATGAACAAGGGTTCAGTAATCAACCTATCTCTCTCCACCTATCTAGATTACTTTTTAAAATTTTAACCCTCTCCCACCCTATTGTGTGATTGTGTGTTAATGAATACAGTAAAAAGTGGTGCTGAGCTTTTTTCTAAATAACATATCATCTCGGCGTCAACCATTGGTATCTTAGCTAAACTCTTATGTTCCGATCTACTAGTTTGACCCATATAGTTGACCTCACTCACAGTCATTGCAAGGTATTTTGTAAATTATATTACTTTGTTTAGTTGGATCCACCAGGTCTTTTAGCCTGCAGAGATTGTCCTACCTGAGTGAGTCTGTAGGTTTGAATGCCACCCTAATTCCTCCTTTATTAAGAATCCTATTACTTAGGGTCCCAAATGTTCCCTCCTTATGTGGTAGAACTGTATATGCCTTATATTCTCTCTTATTTATGTTATCATTACTAGTTTCACAATTATTTTTATTTGGCATTTGTCCTTTTCTGATCTTCCTAATGAATTTTGCAGGATAGTTATTTAACACCAACGCTTCTTCTATATGTTTCATTTCATCACTTAAGTATTTTCTTGAACTACTTAGTGCTACTGTTCGGTTTGTTAGACACTTCACTAAGCCTGCCTTTACGGACGACGGATGAGATGAGTTAAAGTCTGAATATCTATTAGAATGTATTGACCTTTTTGTAAAGTCCAATGTGTAGTTTACCTTCTACTATTCGTTTTATTTTACAATATTGATTTTTATTCAAATATCTGGTCAATTAAATACACATATATACAAATGAATGAAAAGATTGCGTGAGTAGCTTAATATGATTATGAGTGGCAATAAATTGTGTTCGAAACGTTATCAGTTAATATTACTGTGTAACAATGTGTGACTTATCAAAAAAAAATCTTGTATATAATGAAATCCGTATTGCATATATGAATCAAATAGCCATTGGACATATTCTCCAATGTTTCTAAAATGAATCGTTCCCTCATGACAATTACAACTAGTCATTACAAGAAGTCTAGACCAACCCCAATGTGCCATATTTCTAGTAAGAGGTGAACAATGCTGAAGACAATAAGGTATAAATATTCTTATGTACTTCAGTATGAACTTCCCGGCTGAGTGATTAGGCCGGAGTGCTTGACCTCTGTTAACATGTCGGTTCCTGGTGTGGATAAATTAAGTTATAACTTATACCTGTTGCACAAAACGTGGCTCTCGTGTCTAAATTGGTCTGTTCTATAACTCTGTGCCGTTTCAAACGTAGGGCACTGGGTTCGACCCCCAATGAGAACACTATCACTGACTATGGAATGCAGGTGCATCCAAATGGCCAGGCCCAACTGGTAGAAATGGACATCTTAAATCCTACCACTATTGGACAGTGTGCGTCGGTGGTATAGCGGTTAGCACGCTCGCCGACCATGCGTAAGGTCCGGGGTTCGATCCCCGGCCGGCGCACTCCTTTACCTCACCGAGCCAGAAATAATGCTGGTAAAGAGGAAAGGTTGGGCATGAGGCTAGCAACCCCACCCTGTAAAAATTAAACACTGCTACAGAAACTTCAAGCCACTAGCTTGGAGCCCTATGTTCCACTGGGAACGTGAAGGAAATATTATTATTATTATTTATTGGACACCCGCCAAATTACTTCATAATAATGGTCTTCTTTGTGTTTGCGCCAGGAAAACCTATCACTGGAATGACTTTATTGACTTAGATCAATAATTCTGGAGAATCTAAGTGAAGAAATGAGCACTTGTACCAGGTATATATAGTACTGTTTGCATGTGACACTGAGGTTTGATATTTCCATAATCATTAGTGACCCAAAGGATATCTTCTTCTAAACAGTCATTTCTTGAACTAAACAACTAATTGTATAGTATTTATGAATACCTAGACAAAGGTCACTCACTAGAACCATATCACACCTGTTTAATCATGCCAAAAGCCTACTGTTCAGTCACTTCTACTATAATGGTAACAATTCTGTTGATCTGACTTAACTTTTGCTTGTTTACTTGTTTTTCTAACTACTTAAAACTCTTGTATTCCTTTAAAACACTTGCGTAAATCCGTATTTTATTTTGTTTCCATGTACACCTTGAGCACAACTCTTTCATCAAACCGTCCGTGTTATTACGTAACTGCACCAAAAACTTGCTAACTGTATTGTCGTTTGACAAAGTTTATGTATACACACATACAAAATAAACCATATATGTGCACCGTTGTGCAGCTATGAAAATGAATTCGCCGAAAAGAGACTCTTCGCTGAACTATTGGTCTTCTGCCATCCTTCTTTACAATTCACCATAGAAAAGGAATCTGAACTAAGTATTTCGTTTCTTGATGTGTGCCTCAGCAGACGTAATGACGGATCTCTCAAAAGATCTATCCACCGAAAACGCACATGGAACGGACAACTAATTTTTACAGTTGGGTGCCTATTTCCAGGAAAAGGAATTTAATCCATTCACTCTGCTTTAGGATAAGGAAAATTTGTAGTTCTGATTGCGTCGACTCAGAACTTGACTTCCTGAAAGCCACACTCGCAGAAAACGGTTACCCTAACCGATTTATTGACAGAAACATGAAAGATAAGCAGCCTAAACTGGTCACTGACTCAGTTCCAAAGAAAACCTTATTCGTGAACTTGGAATTCAAAGGAGATCAAGCTTCTGATATGCTCAAAAATCGTCTTTCTAAATCAGTTAGTAAAACGTTCCCTGCAGCTAGATTACATATGACGTTCACGAGCCGCAAACTGTTCTCTACCTCTGTAAAAGATAAGCTCCCCCGTCTGACCGCCTCCATGTGCATCTACCAGTTCACCTGCTCTTGTGGAGCAAGGTACATTGGCCGTAGTCAGAGAATGCTCTCCACACGGATACGAGAACATATTCCAGCTTGGTTTTACAAGGAGAAAGGAAATGTGTGCGAAGCTCTATCTTAGAACACCTCATCGACTCCTGTCACTCGGTCAACCCTGACCATGATTTCAAGGTCATATATAGAATTCATGCCAACTTCCCGCGTTTTCTTCGTTACAGACTTCTAAAGACAGCTGAGGCCTTGGCAATTCATGACTTTAAGCCAGACCTTTGTGTACAAAAGAAGTATGTACAATCCCTACTGCTGCCTTGGCCGTAGAGGGATAGACATTTATTTATTTTATTTATTTAGTTATTCTATGTACTTTTCCCTTATTACTTCGATTATTATTATTATTATTATCATTATTATTATTATTACGACTCTCATTCTGAATCTTTTCCACTTGACTTACTTGACATTTTAAACCAAAAATTATTCATGTGTATACTTTTTATCTTTATTTTTACAATATTAAATTCTATGTTATCAAATTTCACACCATGTTACGTAACATTTTACATTCGTCTATTAATCTTACAATTATATGCCTCTCCCCAAAATCTATACACCTGATGTATTATCTTATATATGACATTAATTATTGTTCCACTTGACTTAAACTATGAACCTAATCACAAATATTTTAAATTTATTTCATACTATTATTATTTCATGTATTTACACCTTTGACCTAATTCCCTCACCGGATATAATTTCTTTATAAAACCATATATATACGATTGTACAGCTTGATAATAAATTCGTTGAAAAGAGTCTCTTCGCTGAAAATTGTGTTCTTAATGCTACAATGGGAATTATTAAATTATTGGTCTTCTCTCTACTGTCTGACTGCTGACTGCTTTATTTCGGTGTGCTTATTACTGCACAGTTATTTACAAATGATATACTTAATGACTCCAAACCATACAGTGTATAGGCGGATGTCATTTATTTTCATAATTGTAACATGATACCATATGAAAAATAAACTTCAACATGCACGTACAATTCGTTTCAGTTAGATTTGCACCTGTAATAGAAATAGACGATGTCATATTTAAGAAAAATTTAATCTAACCTTATGCTATTCATCGTAAATAGGAGATTTCTTATAAATATAATGACTCTGAAAGCGCTTTCACAATCATTGAATTCCTCAGAATTGCAGTGAGCTTGGAAGAATGAAGAATTCCAACAGTCTAAATTACTTCCTCTTAAAAGTCGTTATAACTGTAAGCATTTACTTCATGATTCAAGAAGAATAAAAATATTTTAAAAACAGACGCAATAGACACCAAGTACTTCGTGGCTTTCAGTGGTGCTCTAAGTGAAGGTAAATATTTGAATTTATGGTGGCGTCGTTGGATTCTATTCCCAGTGGCTGACTGGTGAACAAGATCACTTTTTCTCTAGATGGTCATGGATTCGATTCCTGCTGATAGGATCCAGCATAAATAGTATATCGTCCTTTCTCATGAATTGTGTGATTTATCTTGTCATGGAGTTACTATATGGATCTGTCATTTCTCACGCATATTGTGGTTTGGTGTGTGATCAATGCATTGTCTTTTGTCTCACCTTAGTCTTTGTCGGATCACCAACCAAACAGAATAGATATTTCCAGCCACAAAGAACAGTTTATACCCACGGTTGTGAGCCAAATGTATTGTCATGAATTAAATATATAAAAATGTGATGGTTTGTTTTCTGATAGATGTACAGTACAATACAATATCTTATAGTCACAGGCCAACCAGCCTTTGTCTTTTGATATTTGCATGGCTCAGTGAGTCGGAAGACACAACGGACAAATAGGCGTATTAGCGTTATAACAATTAACAGACGCAGATATAAAGATGCCGACTACCAACTATGCCTAAAGAAACCGGACGAAATACATGTCCGGTACTGTTAGGTTTAGTGTGCGCCAGTGGCATAGCGGTTAGGACGCTCGCCGACCATGCACATGGTCTAGGGTTCGATTCCGGGCCGACGCACTCCTCTACCTTGCTAAGATGGGAATAATGCTGGTAAAGAGGAAAGGTTGGGCATAAGACTAGCAACCCCATCCTGTAAAATAAACGCCGCTATAGAAACTTCAAGCCACTAGCTTGAAGCCATATGTTCCACTGGGGAACGCGAAGGAAAACAAAACTGTAAGGTTTTCAGCGGTTGTTTAACTGATGTAAGTTCATGGTCAAATTTAAAATCAATCAAATCCTTGCTATCCAAAGAAGATATTATTTAGGCAATGTGAATCAGTCGAAACTCTTCAATGAAGTTAACAGTGACTTGGTTAACTCAACAGTTACACTTACAAGTGGATAATATAGTTACCATTGGGTAAAATTTAATCAGGAGAAATGTTACTCTCCCTTTATCAGGGAACAGACAAGCAAACCATATTCCTAATACAATATATATATATATATATATATAACCGTATATCCTTCAATGTCAATATTTAAGAAGCTAATTTGATTGTAAATTCAACATTTTCTTATCTTTTTTTGATTACAGCTTGGTTTCACACCGTATTATCGGTACAAGTATGGCATTTTCAGCATGTGATATCGGTGGCCGGAATTTCGCAGGCCGACCATAGATATCAGGTGTACGTCGGCAGGGGATGGAACTTCGAACCATTTGCATGGTCGGCAAGAGTCCTAACCGCATTGCTACCGAGACTGTCATTAGGGAGCCATAAAATTGAATTTCGTATTTATTGGTACTTTTTAGCAAGATGAAAGAGGAAAACATAAATAAATGTTGTACTATTATGAAGAGTGATAATAAAAACAATAACTGTAATGGTTTAAAAGTAATTACACCATATTTTAAGTATTCATAAGTCGAATATAGGTAATCCTTTAGCATAATTGAATATTTAGGAGTTGAAAAGTAATTTTATGATGCAAGTATTGTGCTTCTTCATTTAGTATGAACTCACCTCTGCAACCATCTTTACCTATAAACATTATTCAAGTCTTTGTTTAGACATTGTTTAGAGATTCACACATTGTTGTACATGATTGTCCCAGTATTGATATATACGCAAGGCAATAAATGAATGTTCCATTATGAATAAGATTTTATTTTGATAAAGTGTCACACAGTGTTGTAATACAGTAATATTTACCGATGACCACGTTTCGAGCACAATTTATTATCACTCATAATCATATCGAGGTACTACTCACACAACTTCTTTGCTTCATATAATAATATAAGTGTTATCAGTAAAATACAACCAGATGGGAAATAAGATGTTTTCATAGTAAAATAAATAACTTGTTAGAATGTGAACTGAATACATTTTAAGATTTTTTATTATTCTCCAAACTGACTGATAATATTATCTTCCATATCTCTGGTATTTGCATTGGGTCTTTTCTGCTGCATTTGTTCGGTGTAGAATCGATGATCCAAGATTCAGTAATCAATCTCCCTCTATCTCCACCTACTTATATTTCTTCTTAGAATTTTAACCCTCAGACACTGTATTGTGTAATTGTGTGTCCATGCATACAATGCCTTTGCTGACATTTTTTTCTAAAGAACTTATCTTCGTTGGATCAATCATTCTAACCTTAGGTAAATTATTATGTTCTGACAATCCTACTACTCCTGATGCACTAGTATGGCCTATGTGGTTGACCTCACTCACAGCCATTGCAAAGTATTTTGTAAATTATATAATTTTGTTTAATATGGTCTACCAAGTCGTTTAGCCTACGGAGCTTGTCTCTGAGTAAGTACTTGAAACGTCATCAGTAAATATTAGTGTACAACCCAGTAGATTGGAGGGGTAGTCAGATTATCAGCACATGAGAGTCTAGCTAAGGTCAGAATGATTGATCCCACGAAGATAAGTAATTTAGAGAAAATTTCAGCACTACATTGCACTGCACACATTAACACACAACCGCATTATAGCGTGGATGGGACAGAGTTAAAATTCTAAGAAGTAATATAGGTAGTGGAGAGCCGAAGAGATTGATTACTGACCTCTGGATCATCGAGTCTACACAGCTAACATATGCAGTAGAAATGACTCAATGCACATACCAGAGATGTGGGAGATATTATTACCACCAGTCAAATCGGAGAATAATAAATAATGTTAAAATGTGTTTCAATTCATTTTAACAAGTTATTTATTTAGTTTACTATAGAAACATCTTATTTTCCATCTGACTGTATTTGGTATATAACATTATTATTATTATTTCTGAATGCACTTTATCTTATATTCATTTATTCAAATGTCTAGTCATCAATTTCTACTCATGTATATAAATAAAGCAAGAAAGTCGTGTGTGAGTAGTGTCTTAATATAATTATGAGCAGCAATAGTTTGTGCTCGGAACGTCATCAGTTAATATCACTGTACAACACTCTGTGATTTATCAAATTAAAATCTTATCCATAATGAAGTTTTACTCTACCACTACAGCGCCCAAGTTTTATACTTATATTAATAAATGAATACTGTCAGACAAGAACTGGCGTAGACATTCCTAAGATGAATAACTCCCTGCTAATCAGCCTGTAATTAGATCATCATTTATGAACCTCTAAATATGCACTTCTGCTCCACTATCTTGGATGATTCAAGATACGTCCACCTGCATACTTTAATTTTGAAAAAAATCTGCCTCAAAATGTTACTTCTGACGTTAGTAGCAGTTCATAGCAAACCATCTTTTACTACTGGAGGAATAATGGGCTACAGTTCTCAAAGATGTTTGCAAAGAAATGAACGGTATATTATTGTTATACATAAATGACAGGGATGATTAATGAACTCCATAGTTCCACCTTTCTTTCGCTTATCTAAATCAATTATGGAAATTGTGGAGTTATTTAGCTTTCTGAGAAATATCACATTCAGAAATAGTGTTAACTGGTTGAAGGTGGTATTCTTTCATTACTGGGATTATGTTATGATGTCTTCTATACATCATAGCTATGAACAGTGAGGAAGGCAGTTCGCGTTCATTTTATGATGCTCAAAAATCTTTCATTGCAAAGTAGGATGATATAAGACAGAAGTCATCTACGCCGATGTATCAAGTGCAACGCAGTACCAACCGAGTCATACATCCTACAGAATTTATGGGTTTTACTTTCGTTTATACGAGAAAAGGAATCATCCACGTCTCAGACGTAAATTTCTATTTTCATATGAAATCATAAAATCAGGGGCGGGGAATCACATCTTCATACAATCATCTCTTAGAAGTTCAGATCTTCTCTACTCAATGAGATTCTAAAGAGACGTCTATCGTGCATCGTATATACGCACGTAAGTCTTCGAAATTCCGTTTTTTGTTCTAATACCAGTTAACATTGGCTTTTGGACTTACAGGCAGTATATTCTCCTGCATTTGTTGCTATAATTTTAAAATAAAAATTTTAAATTAATTTTGATTTCTAAAGTTTTACTTTTCACTACAATTTCGGCTTATTTCTTTATTCGAACTGTCTGTCAAAATTATTTTATTAAGTGTACTAACACTAGGGAAAGTAATTTAAAAAATGTAAAGCGAAATAAGGTTGTATATATTTTCATTTACAGAGAATTACTCCATCATATATTCTGTTAAGATCAAGTGAAATTTCACTCAGGAAATATTGTTTTGTGTAAACGTTTACAGGAATATATACTACGACCTGTAAGCATATCGTTAATCGGATAATATGGGACTGCATTTAAAATCTGAGATTACCGGCATCGAACCCCTTTAGCGATGATTATGCCTTCAGATGAAACAGCTATTTAATATTCTTTGCTTTTTCAGGCAATTTCAGACTGTATTCAGTTGTGTATAATTAAATCTGTGCCTTAAGCCTGCAGTCGTAGACTAAAAACCTATACTTTGGTCTTGTTAACATCAAATAACAGTTAAGGAAGTTTTGAAAAAACGGATATAGTCTAAGAGTAATGACTAAAATATCAGATAAACATAAACCGACTTTCACTGAAATCCAATAAAGATCAGTTAATTTTCTGCAGTTAGTTTGCAAAAATTAGTTTTGTTTTTACGATGGCGTTTCCTGGAGTTCAAGTGATAAGTTGTGACCAGTGTGGTTCATCCAATCAAGTCTGAGGATGGTGTCCCACTGATGATATTGGTAGGTGGCGAAGGTAAAATTCACGAATTGATAGAAGTTAGAATTCATGGGCTGGCCACTAAAACTGGGTCCCTGTGGCTGAATGGCATACGAGCTTGTTTTGTAACCGGTAGGTCCTGGGTCCCGACCCCAGTGGGTGCATACTGCGGACGATTCCCAAACTCGGATTAAACAACTTTCTAGTACTTCCTGACTGGTTTCCAACGGCTCTCTAACTGATATCAATCCATGATTAACTCGTAAAAATATCAGTTTGATTTTTACAAAGTAAATGAAGATGGATGGGACAGATGCACTGAGGGGGTGATTTTGAGAAACCACTAGCCATACTTTGAAATGGAATGATAAGGTAAAACGATCAGTTTGGTATGCGTTCGAAGGTGAAACGGAAGAGATTGTGTGTGCAGGAAATAAAAACCATTCAAAAATGACTGCGGAGGGCAGAATGAATTAGTGGCGTGCTGTTGTTGCACTTGAAATCCAAAGGCACAGTTGTAACAGTTCATTTCTAGAATAAAAGTCTAAAATGAGCGAATTCTCCATTATTATAAAAGTTCTATTTCCATTCTTCAGTGAATGAACGAAAAAGAAAACAATATTGCAGTTTTTTCTGGCATTTCGCTATTTAATGCTGCTAATAGCTTTATCAAACCGGTGTTATTAAACCAGTTTTTATAAACTCTCAGATTATAAATAACAATTTAATCATCGTTCATCAGCAGTGGCTAATTCTTACAATGTCAATTCAGCCAACTGATAAAGAAAGGAAAAACCACCGAGAAATCCAGGTGAACTAGAAAACCTTGAAAAATTATAAGCTATAGGTCGTCTACGTGCTATAGAATCAGGCAATTTTAAAATTATCATCCAGAAAAAGCATTTCAGAAGTCAGAAAGAACATCTAATATCAAGAAAAAGTACTTCATATCCAAAGGAATCCAAACTGTCTGAACAGGAATGATGGACAGAATTTGACCGGGTTGCAACTCCCGCCTCCCTGACGAGATGACAAAATCAACATAAGTATGATAAACAATTTCATTATGCAAACACAGGCTGCTTTTCTAATTTTACACAGTTATCAAGTCACTCAGCAGCAACAACAAAATACGTCAGATTTTCAATACAAACACGTCAAGTCAGTCAGTTCTTCTATACGGATCAGAAACTTGGCGAGCGCGTCACAAAAAATATTTCCAACAGCCTGTTACATGCAGACCTTTATCAACAACTGTCTTCTCTCTATACTGAAGATCAGATGGCCAGATCGGAAAGAATCACTAACACGAAACTGTGGGAACAAACAAAACAAGAACCAATCGCCCAACAAATATGGAGGAGAAAGTGGAGATGGATCGGACACTCGCTGAGGAGACCGCTGGGTGACATCACGCGTCAAGCCCTCGAGTGGAACCCGAAAGGGAAGTGGCGTGTGGGACGTCCAAGGGTGACATGGAGGAGATCGTGTGAAGAGGAGTTGAAAGAGTATGGACTAACATGGATGAAAGTGAAATGCACAGCAGAAGACAGAAGCAAGTGGAGACGTGCAGTTGAAGCCCTATGTTCCACTAGGAACCCAATGGAACAATAATAATAATTAAATCCGACAATCTAAACATGGTTTTGTTATCTTTACCCATTGACCAAATTAACAACGAAAAATGCCCCCATGCTGAGGAAGCTGAGAGTTTGTAAACTCTGGTTTAATCTCACCAGTTTGACAAAGCTATTAGCAGCATTAAATAGCGAAATGTCAATAAAAACTGCAATATCGTTTTGTTTTCCATTCATTCATTGGGAAATACAAAAATCCTTTTATAATAATGAATATCATATACCCAATGCTCAATTTTTTTCACACTGTTAAAATTGAACTTGATGAGTATATATCTGAGCAAATTCTGTATAAAATATAGGCTTCTCATTTCATTCTGATATTCAGACTTACCATTTTCAGCACATCCCAGATGACCTGAAACAATGGTATAAAAAAATCGCAGTATCTGCATGAGAAATAGAACATAATGAGAGAAAAGTATTGGAGATCTCATTCCCCAAACCACCGATAGCACTTACAATGTATTTAGATTGATTTAGCAGATTTAGAGCCACTGAAACTTTCATGCTTAATACACGATAAAAAAACAAATATAAATATGCCTTTGAGTGTGTTGGTTTCCTATGCGTTGCGAATTTGAGTCTTCCATAAGTTTGTGCTTTCATAAGACAATCTAGAAAATTTAGAGTTCCACTGTTTGATTCGAATTCATTTTAAAACACAGCTCATATGTTTTCGATTGCACACTAGTCAGTAACTAGTGTAATGTGTCGAGTCCTATCTTCGGTGCAGACTGAATTCTATCAGTCAAGCTTGCAATGTGGCCACCATGCTAGGTGGCTCGCCATTATGGTGCACTGTGAAATGTTCGTATTAGATGGTTGGAGGCAATCGGCAGGAACCCTTAGACCAAGGTTTTGTGCTAGTTGGCACTCATTTGGCAAGGCGTATCTGAAGCACTGAGCGACGCGGGTTCAAATCTCAGAAAGGACATGAGTTCCTTCAAGGTTGCAGATACTCCTTGCTGATGAGTGCCATCTAGCACGAAACCTAGGTCCAAGGCTTCCTGCCGATTGCCTCCAGCCATCTAATATAGCTCATATTTTTCAGAAAAAGTTGTTTTTTTTCGGCTCGCTTAATAAAGATGAACAGATAACATGAATATAGTCAACATTTTCAGTCAGCAAATGAAACTCCCAAAAACGTTTACTTCTAGAGCCCCAATTGAACGAGTGGTTACGATTCGAAGTATTGGTGAACCTACTTCAACTCCATTTATCTGCCAGGCATCTTTCTGAAACTCCATATCAGTCGGGCAGCTTAAATTCCATCAAATGACCACTACACAAGCAAGCCCCAGTCTCTTGAAGTTCACAGTCGAAACATGTCTTGCGTGTTGAAGACGATGCTGTAGAAAGTCTTTCTGTAACTTGGTAACGCATATCTTAACCTTAATTGAATACCTTACCTTTTATTAGCTGTAGATATTGATTTTTTTCAGTCACAGTTAGTTACATCAACATTTATTGCAAATTATCCTTCATATGTTCTACATCTAACTAAATGAGCTTAACTCACAAAATGCTTTCTTCATACATCATTTGTTTGTGAAGAATTTTCTAGTGACCTGTGTAATCTTATCTTGTTGCTACTCTTGTTCCACAATTTCTGTGTTTTATTCGAGAAAATTCAGCCCGATTACATTTCCAGGTATTGTAATAACTTGACATTTCGATAAAAATACATTTCAGCACATGCATACACCATAATTATTCTTTTATATTGTTCTCCAGTAAAATAATTATTTTATTGTTTCCTTTAATTCCTAGGGGAACATAAAGCTTCAGCCACACGTCTCCATTGCGTTCAGCTCTCCACCAACGTTAGCATCTCACTCTACGTCTGCCGACATGATTTCATCTCCTCTTCACATCAACTCCTCCATGTAACCCTCACACTGACGACCAACTAACTCTCCACCTCCTATTCGGATTCCACTTGAGTAATGGCCTGGCGTTTGATGTCAGTCAATTGATGATTTGTTTTCTCAGATTATGGCCAATCTACCTCCATTTCCTCCTGCACATCTGTTGCACAGTTGGTTCCTGATGGGTCGGCTGGCTCGTTCATTGCAAGGGATTCGCGTTGCTGATCTTTTCTGGCTGGCCATCTGATATTGAGAGGAGTGTTGAGCAAATACAGTTGTTGATGATGAAGGTGTGTAGTTTGTTCTAAGTGCTCTTCCTGAAAACGCGCCAAGTCTCTGATCCGTCTAGAAGTTAGCACTGACTACACTTTGGAGCTGAAAATTCGGATCTTATTTTTCATGCTGGGTTATGTTGGTCTCCACACAGACTTGAGAGTAATGAAAGCTTGCCTCGCTTTTCCGATTCTAGCTTTGATATCCTCGTTAGTTCCGCCTGTAGTTGAAACGATGCTTCCCAGGTAGGTAAATGAGGTTGTTTCCTTCAGGCTTCTCCCAATTATGCTGAATGGTGTCTGTTGTTGCTGTGGATGTTGCTGTTGGCCAGGAATCTTCATCACCACATCGGTTTTCTCCATGCTCACCTGAGGTCCTATCTTTGATGCTTCTTCTGCCAGCTTGTTGCTTTTCACTTGCATATCTTCCAGTTCGTGGGGAAGCAGACATATGTCATCATCGGCAAAGTTCAGATAAAGATCCTCCAAGTTTATTGTGTGAGTCGATTTTATGCCTGATTCCTGTTCGCTGGCTGTATGTCGCATTATCCAATCTGCAGCAATCAGGAGAGTCACTGGATATAGCAGGCAGCCAGCCTGTCTTACTGCCGTCTTCACTTTGAAGGATTCCTTGAGTTTCCGGTTGTGGGTTACTTGGCATGCAGCTTTATCGTACAATTGTTGGATGAGATATGTATTTGTTGGCTGCACCCGTATTGGCGAATTAGTTTCCAAATCACCTCTCGATCGACGCTGTCGAATGTCTTTTCATAGTCGCTAGAGTCGATGTAGAGAGCTGACGGACTTCGTTTCCAAGCTGTGTTCAATGATGATCCGTAGTGTTGCAATTTGATTGATGCATGACTCGTTTCTCCTGAATGCAGCTTGTTCCAGTCGACGTTATTCATCCAGAGTGGCATGTTTGATTCTCTCCAGGATGATGCGACTTACTATTTTGCTTTGGATGGACAGGAACATAATGTTGCGCCAGTTCTTGCATTGACTTAAGTCAGCTTTCTTTGATAGGTTAAAATTACAATAGAACTATTTGCGTTTGTGATGTAGACTGTATGCAGCTGACATGAAACCGATGGAAGAAACAATAAATCCATTTGATCCTGCATTATATGTAATTGTCATTACTTTGTTAAAGTACCGTGAGAATGGTCTCCTGCCTGGAAATCCTGAATTTATGTTTTACAAATCACAGTCAACCTTTATAACTGTGAACCTTATAAAATATCAGTAGTAGTTACTTTAAGCAGAAATAAGCGGGAATCAACAAATAACCTTTGAACTTTGAATTTTGGAGACTATGTTCCTCTGAGTACTTCTACTGACACCAATATAAGCTATTCTAGATAGCTTTAATTACATTTACCATTTTTACCAGTGACCAACATAACATAACGCCTCGTCGAGGAAAGGAGGGAACTTAAACAACTCTGGCCCATGAAACTCTCAGGTAAAAACTTACAAGTCAAACAATGTTTTATTAAATACAATTTTCATTACTATAAGATTTGTAAAGCGACTTACAGTAAAATGTTTGTGCACCAGCTCCTGTATATTACAAGTGTAGAAACTATATATTTATAACTATCAAAAACACTGAGAAAATAAAAAAACCTTCATTCTCATATTAATAATTAAGATCTTTTTTCCTTCACGTTCCCCAGTGGAACATAGGGCCTCAAGCTAGTGGCTTGAAGTTTCTGTAGCAGTGTTTATTTTACAGGATGGGGTTGCTAGCCAGCCTCATGCCCAACCTTTCCTCTTTACCAGCATTATTTCTGGCTTAGCGAGGTGAAGGAGTGCGTCCGTGGGCGGGGATCGAACCTCGGACCATGTGCATGGTTGGCGAGCGTCCTCACCTCTATGCCGCCGACGCACAATTGAGATCTATTGAGAATAATTAAACATATCTCAGGATTCCAATAAGTTGATTTTATACTAGTTAGTAACTAGTACAATGTGTCTAGTCCATTGCTTGGTGCATACTGAATTCTCTCACTCACGTTTGCAGTGACTGGTGATACCATTCTAGGTGACTCGCCATCATGGTATACCTTGAATTGTTGGTATTTATTAGATGGTTGGAGGTGATCGGCAGGAAACCCTGAACTTGAGTTCCTTCAAGATTGTAGATACATACGCCTTGGTGACGAGTGCAAATCAGTACGAAACCTAAGCCCAAGGTTTCTTGACGATTGCCTCCAACCATCTAATATTCCAATAGAGCAAATAATGAATGCTTTACTTAAAGATGAGCCAGTTCAAAAGCGAGTGGCTATACCCATTCTGTGAGTAGTCTATCTGTCACACCCATTTCTGGAAGAAAGAACCATTCTCTTACTGTTGGCTTTTTGTGATGATATGGACAGTGAAATTAATATTTATTCATTTATTTATTTATTGGTGTCATGTTTAGTTTGTTGTTCTAATCACGTCTTCCCTGCGGGACAGAGTCATTTTGGAGTTATGCGTCCTAAATTTCTCAGAGTCTTGATGATAATCAAAACTGAAAAAATTTTAATAAATACTTCTATCAGTGACCTTATATATTTAATTTTATTTTAATGAGTGCACAACTGGTAATATAAGGATAATTTATTGCGTACGTCGATTTCACGATGAAAGTTAGTCTTCTGAAGGTCGGGATACTTATTAAAATCAGGAGATAATATAAAAGTGCTTCTATAGCTAGAAAGAAGCGTAATATCGTCAACAAGTGTGGCTTTAAATTTCTTTCAATTTTTATGTCTTAAAAAAGGAGGAGTATACTTACTTCCTCAGAAAGTATTTCAGAAAACTATCCAGCATTTAAAAATACTTCTTACCACACTTATAAAGAATAAAGCTACCGAAAGAGTCGTCTAAATACGTTGTGACCCGCTTAAACCACTGAGCTACCAAACTTTCTATCCATTCAAATGCCTAAACTCTTCTGCGTTCCGTATTGTTTAAGTGATGAAATTATATCAGATGAAGACTATGCAAACTCGCCCACATATTTAATTAGCTCTCCTTTAGACGTTGTGCAGTTCTTGAGAGAAACACAGACACAACAGACACAGAATTGGTTCTCTCTTCAAATGCGACAACGCTACGTCACATAATATACTTCAGATTATTACTTTACATGTAAATCCTGTATGAAGGGGAAATATTTTGGAACTAAATACGCTGAGAATTTCTACTATGTTCATAAGTAAAGCTTTATTATTATTCTTATACTAACAACTTGACGTTAAATAATGGTAGTACTGGTCACGTTTAGGAATTCCCACAATCACACGATCCTTCAAAATGTAATGAATTGAGGATCTGTCATGCGATAAAATATTTTCGTGAGTCTATGAATTCAAAGTTCCACGGGTGAATGAGTCGTGCTGTCAAATTTCAAGTTTTTAAAACAAGTCTTTACGTTTTGCTTTTATTCCTTCAGGTTCCCTAGTGGAACATAGGGCTTCAAACTAGAGGCTTGAAGTTTCTGTAATAATGGTGTCTATTTTTACAGGATATGGTTGCTAGCCTCATCCCCAACCATCCCTCTTTCGTATTACTTGCTTTGCGAGGTAAAGGAGTGCGTCGACCAGGGATAGAACAACAGACCACCTGCGTGCTTGTGCCACTGACACCCATACGATTTAAAACCCTCAATTTTTGATTTACTTTCCCCCCCGCCTCAGTAAGTATTTAAAACCTTTAAATGAAATAGGAAGTTTATGTTTACTAACTTCCTGCACACAATCCGCCACCTGAATTCAAAAAATACCAGAAGATATAAACACAAGCGTTTGAGGATGATATATATATATATACATTTAGCTAACTAATATTTTTATTATTCCCTTGGGTTCCGAGTGGAATATAGGGCTTCAAAAACACATCTCGACTTTGTTCTATTTTCTGCTCTCCTCTCCAGCTGGGCTCACGATTCCTCATAACCTCACATATCCTCCTCACCACACAATCTCCTCCATCTCACCTTCGGCGACCCACTCATCGTTTCCGATTGTAGTGCCACTCAATGGCCAAGAGCACACCTAGTTTACGAGCTGGATCAGTTTCTAGCCGGCTTTAGGCCTAGGAAAAAAGAGAGCCTTGGACCTGGGGTTAGTGACTCTAAACAGGAAAATCAGTCAAACTATCAACGGAACTTAAACGCACAAAAAAATATTTAAAACAGCCTGCTAGTTAATCGAAATAAATTCATCACAAAATAAATACCTTGCTTAAACGTCACAATACTTCTACACTGAAAGAAACTTCAGTTCACTTTACTTTTCATATTTAAGGTGTTGAAACAAATTTACTAAGTGAAGTATACCTCTGTGTATATTGAATATTTAGGTGTCAGCATACCTTACAATATATCAGCTGAATGTTTACAGTTTTAAAAGCGGATGCAAGACTTAAACATTCTCTCTCTTTATTAATAATTTTAGATTAAATGTAAAATAACTGTTTGCTCATGCTGACCAATCAGTATTGATACATTCGTTTTAACAACTAAAATAGGCCCAATGGCTGGCCCATTTTAATCAGTTGGGAATTACATGTATAGGCAAATAGTGGCGCATGAATTTACTGCAATTGTGTCACATCATTTAATGAGTATTTTAAGCAAAACATGGACTCACATTGTCTTCTAGCATAAGAGTCTGTAATGAAAGTGAATACCTTTTTATAATAATTTCAGGTTGGACCATGAACTTATATCAGTCGCAGAAACATTGAAGACTAGAGAGTGCTAGACAGTTGTCTCTTCCTAGTTTTGGACTCATCGGTAGTACGCAATCGTTGAGTTTTGAACACAGGACCTTCCGGTTACAAGACAAACTCCTATACCATTCAGCCACTGGGACCTGGTTTACTGGCCCATGAATTCTAACTTTTACTAATTCGTGATTTAGCGCGACTACCAACCAATGTCATCGAGAGGAACTCCATCCATCCTCACTGCCAAATTGATGGACCCCACTGGTCACGATTTCTCACTAGAACTCCAGGTAACTTAACTTGTAGCCGGTCACTAGCCAGTATCAGGTTAAATTTCAAGAATTAGTTTCTAAGGATTCTATTTGTTTATGGTTAGACCACGGATGATATTACTCTTTGAGTGAAACTTCTGATTAGTCAGTATAAAGTTTGTCAATAATCTGAATTACCTCACTACTCCAAAAGCTGCTGGTTCTTTTATGGATCTTGTTCTTTAATAAGAACTAATATTCATCTCATAGCCCTTTTAACGTCCAGTTTACTACCATACTTCTGCACTCAGCTTTCGTTGGATGTTAATATCCAGATTATGAAGTTTGCATTTTTTTTTAAAAATAGCTTATTTCGATCATAAATAAATGTAATTCTTTCAACTCATTTGTGTATTTTGGTTAGATATTTCAGAAGCTTTTCAGATTCTAGAGGCATGTGCGTGTTGTAATATGGCAAAGTAAAAGAAAATTTAAATTAATTAACACGGTTAAAAACGCTTCTTTTGCTTAATTCATCATTTGACTTACACTCGTTCGTGCATAAATCTTCACCTGTATCCACAAATGTAATTAAAAGTGACTTTCGCTAACATTTAAAAGACTTGAGGAACTGGAAATACTCAGACGACTCTTCATGGAAAATGGATATCCTTCAAGAGTTATCAAGAAAAATATGAAGGTAAAGCAAAAACCTGAAAGAACCCAGACGCTACCAAAGAAACTACTGTTTCTTTCTTTACTTTTCTTTTGATTATAGCTTGATTCCACACCGTATTTTTGGTACAAGGATGGAATTTTCAGCATTTGATATCGGTAGCCCAAATTTCGCAGGCCAGCCACAGATATCAGGTGGGCGTCGGCAGGGGATCGAACCCCAAACCATGTTTATGGTCCGTTGAATTCAAAAGTGATGTCACTGCTGAGATTTTGAAGGACAGCTTACCCAGATCACTGGAAAAGGCTGAGGTACCTATCAACTTCTAAAGTCGATAAATGATCAGCGGATGTTTGAAGGATAAACTGTCACTCTGAACCACTCCGATGTGTGTCCTATTAATTTTCCTGCTATTGTGGAGCTAGTTATATTGATCGTACAAAGCTCACACTTTCCAGACGCATTTCTAAACATTATTCGGCACGGTTAGCAAACGAACAATGCAATGTAGTTACTCGCTCAATTCTCGAGCACTTGGTGAGCTCAATCCACGTAACTCCACCAGAGTCGTCTTTCAAGATTATCTACATAGTGAGGCCAAATGGTACAAAGAGCATCAGGTTTCCGCATTTGTGTATGGTGGAGGTGCTGGTAATTCGTCAATACAACCTCGAACTCTGTATACAGTAAATGTTTCTCCAATCTCTTATTCTACCATGGTCTTAACCTCTTCACTGGTAGTCCCCTGTAAAATATTTTAATATTTTTAATTCTCAATTTTACTTTTACTTTGCTTTTACTTTAATAATTAATTAGCTAGAACCACTCTCACATGTTCCCTTTGTACATTTTCATACCCTCTTTACACTTGTTAAATTGACACTCAGTTACCTTTATCCTCACTCAATAATAATTTCTTTATTTCCTTCACGTTCCCCAGTGGAACGTAGGGCTTCAAGATAAAGGCTTGAAGTTTCTGTAGCAGTGTTTATTTTTACAGGATGGGGTTGCTAGCCTGATGCCCAACCCTCCCTCTTTACCAATCTTATTACTGGGTAAGTGAGGTAAAGCAGTGCGCCGGCCGGGGATCTAGTCACAGACCATGTGCATTGTCAACGAGCATGTTAACCGCTGTGCCAACAACGCAGTAATGATTTTAATCTCATCAAATTTCTAACGCTTTTTTCCTTTGGGCCGTTGCACACTACGTATTTATATTTCTTAAGTGTTGGTTTGTAGGGATTTGATTGATTGGTTACAGGACTTCATCATGAGCTGACATTGGTTAGAGAACCACTGGAAAACCTGGGAGTACTGGACAGCTGTTTCGTCCTAGTTTGGGACTCTTCATCAGTACGTACCCACCACCAGGGTTCGAACCCAGGACGTTCTGGTTACAAGGCGAGCTCGTATACTATTAAGCCACTGGAGCCCGACCCAATGGCCCATGAATTCCAATGGTTCTCTAACCAATATCAGCTCATGATGAAATCCTGTAAGCCACTTCTGAGTAATCATACTAATTATGTCACTTGCCCCTTTATTGCTCAATAATAGACAACTATGCATTTTTTGGCTAACATAAATACGACTGTACAGCCTATGAAGATGATTTCGTCGATGAAGAAAATTTTCTTCACTGAATAGTCTTTTATTTTCTCCATGGATCACATAAAACTTGAAATCAAAAACTAAACACCATTATTCTTACATTCAGTGACTAAAAACAGGAAAACAGATGAATTAAATAAAACAAATCTTTTAACCGATTTCTAGTGTGAGATACAGTTGGTAATTGCTATCAGAAGAATATCAGTTTAAAATGATTTGAGGAGATTTTTACTCCCCCGTTAATCAGCAACTGCTGCCATGTAAGACTAGGCAAATATACTGGCAGTTTTGAAAGTTGTAATAAAAATCACCGTTCACATCCTTATATTCGAGCTGTATACACTACTTGGTAGCTTTACAGTATGTTGTGAATACATTACATAAAATAAAAATGCATTTCTTTGTAGCGTAACTTCGTATTCCTATAGCTACATTCCTTGCCATCCCACAAGTCACATCATCCTAGCAGAGGTTAGTTTCATCTGAACAACTGAGGTCATCACTTTGTACGACTAGCCCACCTCTTACAACAGAATATGAATTTTCTTTTTAGAAAGAGGTGACATTTTCATGGATATTAAGTATTCTGAAATTTTAGTTAGGAAATTCCTACAAATAGCCTTCGATTATGTAAAATTGGACCAGGGTTTGTAATACTTTAATGACTAATGAAGGAGCTGTCAGTTCTGGAAAGGAACTGAATGCTGATTTTTATGAGAAGGTATACAACAGCGGAAGAAATAAAACTAGAAGTGATCCATTTTTACTACTAATAATCCATCTTCCATTGAAAATCAACTTAAGCTCATATCTTATTCCACCATTTGGATATCTCCCAGCTGATTATTATTATTGTTTTCTGCAATTCCTAGAGGAACGTAGAGCTTCAGTCACATGTCTCCACTGCGCTCGCTTCTCTGACAACGTTTTCACCTGGATCCACGCCTGCCTACATGCTTCCATCTCTTCTTCACATCAACTCCTTCATATCACCCTCGCACTGGCGACCAACTCTCCACTTTCCATTCAAGGTTCCCCTCGAGCGATGGCCTAAAGTGGGATGTCACTTGATAGTTTGTTTTCTCAGAGTATGACCAATCCACCTCCATTTCTTTCTGCATATTTTTTGCACAACGGCTTCCTTCTAGGTTGCTTCGTTTGCTGCCAAAGATGCCTCCCTGTTTCTGATTGTTTCTAGCCGGCCATCTGTTCTTGAGTAGTACTGAGTGAAGACAGCAACTGATGAAGTTGTGTAGTTTGTTCGAAGTGGCCTTCGTGACACGTCGTTAAGTTTCTGACCGTATAGTAAGTAGCACTGACTTAACATTGGAATTAGAAATCCGGATGTTATTTCCCACTCTGAGTGCTGTTGATCTCCACGCAGACTTCAGCCTTGCTTTCCCGTTCCTCGCTATTTTGGTATCCTCGTCAGTTCTGTCCGCGTGTAGTTGAAACGATGCTTCCCAGGTAGGTATGTGAAGGAGGTTGCTTCTTTCGGATTCAGCTTCTCCCATTTAAGCTGATTGTTGTCTGTTGTTAATCCTGCTGCTGTTGGATAGGAACCTCCATCACCACATCTGTTTTTCTGCATGTTCACCCGAAGTCCTTCCTATCTTTCCTGGATGCTTCTTCTGCCGACTTGCTGCTTTCCACTTGCATATCTTCCAGTTTGTGGGATTCAGACATATGTCATCATCGGCGAAGTACAGATCCTTCAAGTTTCTTTTTAGTGGATCCATTTAATGCCTGTCTCCTGATTGCCCGCTGTTTGTCGCATAGCAGAGTCTGCCGCAACCATTAAAGTCACTGCAGATAGCAGGCAGCCAGCCTTGTCTTACTGCCGTCTCTACTCCAAAGGATTCCGTGAGTATCCCGTTTTGGATTACTCAACATGTAGCATTGACGTACAACTGTTGGATGCGATGTATAATTGTTGGCAGCAGCGAGTAGTAGCAAATTCGTTTCTAAATCACCCCTCGACTGACCAGTGTTGAAGGTCTTTTCAAAGTGAATTAGCGAGTCAATTGACTGCTATTCCAAGCTGTATTCAATAAAGATCCATAGTGTTGCGGTTTGATTGTTGCATGACTCGTTTCTGCAGAATGTAGCCTGTTCCGATGGAAGTTTTTCGAACATGATGATGATACATATCTTTAAAAGTGAACTAACTTACCATAACTTTTCAACTCAGTGGCTGAAAACATATTTAAGCAATTTAATAATTTATTGATCAAGTTAAGTTTTAGAAACACACAAGCATCATGCAATTGCAAATGACTGAACTGTAAACATCAAGGCAGTCATCTTAAATGAAAGTCTATTGATAGTTATAAAACTCAGTACCACAAGGAATAGACAGACAAAGAAAATCTGTAGGGAATTCAGACAATAGACGTGATTTCATCTGGTTACATCTTCATAGTCAATTTCTGTTTTAATAAACAGTTTACTATATTGTCATCAGATCAAAGTACTAGTCTTTCTGTTTTTTTAGGAAATTTCAGATATCTTTATGGGCAGTTGGGAAAGTGTTGCTCTTAATACATGTAACCCTACTCCAAAGATATGATGGAGATATGTAGATGACTGACACTTACACACACACACACACAGTGTTAAAAACAGAACATATCTCTCTAGCTTCTTTACACATATAAGCTAGCTAGTAGAAGGAATAAAATTCACATTTAAATCGGAAAATGAATGAACAAGGAGAATTAACTACAGTGTTAGATTGTAAAATGAAACGAACAGAGGAAGGTGAGCTGCACGGTAACGTTTATAAAAAGCCAACGCATTCTGAAAGACACTTAGACAGTAATTCATCACTTCATCCGTTATCTGTAAAGTCAGGCTTAGTTAAGTGTTTGTTAAACAAATTGAGCAATAACACTAAGTAGCACAGGAAAAGACCTAAGTGATATAATTAATTATGAATATAAAAACAGGTCAAAAGCAAAATTTTAAAAAATAATGAAACTAATAATGATAACATAAATAAGAAAGAATATAAAACATCTACAGTAGTTCTACCATATAAGGAGGAGGCATCTTAGAACCGCTGAAGTAGGATTGTCAATAGAACAGGAATTAGGGTGGCATTCAAAACTCAATCAGGTAGGACAAGCTCTGTAGGTTAAAGGACCCTGTTGACCCCATTAGACAAAATAATATTATTTACGAAATACCATGCAATGACTGCGAGTTAGATCAGCCACATAGGTCAGACTAGTAGGTCGGGGCTGTTGAAATTGTCAGACTATAAGAATTTAGCTATTGTAAGAATAATTGACCCCAAGAAGATAAGTAATTTAGAAAAAAGGTCAGCACTACATTGCAGTGCATGCATTAACTCACAGCCACATAATCTGGTGGGTGGCACGGAGTCAAAATTCTAGGAAGTAATATAGGTAGGTGGAAAGAGAGAGAGAGAGGTCGATTACTGAATTCTGGTTCAACAAGTACTATGCACCAACAAATGCAGAGGAAGCGACTCAACGCAAATACCAAAGATATGGAAGATATTACTACCATCAGTAAAATCAGAGGAGGATAATAAATGATGTTAAAATGTATTCCATTCACATACATTATAACTTTCTAACAAGCTGCTTATTTTTACTGTAAAAACACCTTATTTCCCATCTGATTGTATTTGATTGATAGCAACAATATTATTTCTGAAAGTACTTCATCTTATATTGATTTTATTCAAATGTCTAATGTATGTAAATGAAGCAAGAAAGTTGTGTGAGTAGTGTCTTGATATGATGATTAGTGTCAATTAATTGTGCTCGAAACGCGGTCATCAGTAAATATCACTGTATAACAACACTGTGTGACACTTTATCAAGATAAAATCTTATGCATGATAGAGTAATACTCTACCACCACAGTGCCCAAGTTTTATGCTTATGTCTATAGGAAAATTCCAATATCGTATCCATAAATTCTATAGAAGTATTGCCTTAATTTGGTGTCAACTCAGGTTTATCCAACTGTCTTGGTACTACCTATCCATTGCTCCTAGATATTAAATATTGTAGCTGTTAATCCTTTCTTATCTGCACTTTGCTATTCTTTCTCCTGTGTCCAACTTCGTACTACTTATCACCAGTAAATAGTATTTTTTTTAATTCTCAAACATGATTTTGTTTGCCAGTGAAGTTTTATTTACTTACTGTATTCATGCGCTATTCGATGTAAAGTAATTAATTTCTTATAGTTAAACTCTGTCTGCTGTATATGCTTTATTTGTGTACTCGTCACAGTTGAATATTGTTTATTCGTACCCGTTTATTCTGCGTCAGGAATTCGCGCGCTGTTTGAATCTACACGGCTTTGCTGTTCTCACTTATTGATATACGCTGATTGTGCTTTTAGATGGCATTCAGCCATTGACACCTCAAAATTGAGGTTTGTATATTACATTTCATATTTTATGTTTCATATAGTACCGTATTTTAGACAAATCCGGTGTTTTTGAATTTTACGCGTCTCTCTACACGTGATTTAATAATCCTTGGATTATCGTCTCAAATTTATTCTGAAAGAAATTATATACTATGGACTAATATTTCAAAATATTATTATTAATTATTCAAGGACAAGATATTAACTTACCATATACACTATCTAAAATTCGGCATTATATAAAGACAGATTTTCAAAATATTCCTTGTGGAAATATTCAACCAACAATAAAATAAATTCAGAAATTTTAATGAAGGAATCTTATTAAATTTCTGATCTGAAAAAAACTCCCAACTCGAATTTGGCAGAAATCGACGTTACACTCATATACACCAATATATTCTAGATCTCGGTGACAATGAATATCAAATTGTTTATTAAAAATATAACCGTAAAGATGACATACAGAGTTTATGTCAGCTTTATTTTATGCCTAGTAAACTTACAAGAAAATCTTTGGTTAGACACAAGTAACTAGTGTGATGTGTCTAATCTCCATCGTTTTCTGTAAACGGAATTCTATCAGTCAGCTTTAAAATGTGGTCAACATGTCACTAGGTGGCTCGACATGATGGTGCGCTTCGATTTGATGATAATAGATGGTTGGAGACAATCGACAGAAAGCCTTGCCTTGAAGCTAGGTTTCGGGCTAGTTGGCACTCACCAGTCAGCAAGGCGTATCTGCTACCTTGACTGCAGCAGTAGGTGACGCAGGTTCGAATCTCTGAAGGGACATGAACTCCTTCAAGGTTGACTGGCCAGAAAGAATTAGAAACAAGAGACTCTGCAGTGTAACAAACAAACCGAGAGTCGATCTCTCATTAAATATGTAGGAGAAAATGGAGATAGATAGATTGGGCATGCATTGAGGATGCAGTCGAATGACATCGTGCTATTTGGGCCATCTAATGAGTGGAATCCCAATGGGAAGCAATGAGTGGGTCATCAGTGTGAAGGTGATATGAAGGAGAGAGTTTGGGAAGGAGGAGATGAGAGGTAACGAGCAATTGTGGACCCAGGTGAAGAGGGCAGCAGAGAATAGAATAAAGTGGGAATGTGCTTTTGAAGCGGTATTTTCAACTCAGAACCCAGGGGAAAAATAATATCAGTGTAAATACCCCGTTAATTAATCCCTCCATACTACGTAAATGTGAGGAGAAAATTAGATGCAACATATTGTATAGTTTCAGTGCACTACTTGGAATAAAGCAATAATTATTTAAAACCAACCTAATAATGTAATATCGAGGAAATACCATATTTCTACAGTTTGATATTAGTCGTGTATATACTCTTATCTAGTGTATATCAGAATCGTCGGTCATGCAGCGTTCAGTTATTCTGCAAAATGAAATCAGTCTCACAACTTCACTGCATCTAGCATCGTTTGAATTCTAACAAACGCTTTATTAAAGTGACTAATATACCACTAGAGAAATATTACCCTTCAAAAATTGAAAATGCCTAATCTACTTTAACATTTACAATTTTTACTCTATCACATTTCGATCCGATATAATCAGCCATCTGTGTGAAGTAAAAAGTTAACTGACAACCGCTTCACAAAAGTTGGCTTTTGTGACCCGAATGGCCTAGGGGATTATTCTTTAACATTAGGAACGGTAAATGCTGGATCCAACTCTTTTCACGAATATCACACATCATTCATGTGGAATTCAAGCAAATAAAAAATATCTGCCCCCACCTATGACAAAACTCGCATCTCGCTAGTCACTGTCAACGTTAATCTCCCGGCATCGTTTAAGAGTTAGTACTAGGAAACGACATTTAGTGGCTCCGGCAACCCAATAGCTCGTTGGGTAATGCTTTAAAACGGTGGCTGCTGAGGTAGAAAATACATCCAGTGGATGAGTCTGGCATATGATGAAATGTACATTCTGGATTCTACTGCGAACTAACCCTAGCAAAATTACATCTTTT